GCATAAATTACATTGCATATTAAAAAATTTTTTTTTTTTTTTTTTGGTATTTATAAAGTAGAATCCTCAGGTGAATGGTTTATAGAATCCATGCAGGATTCCCTAGGCTTGCGTTGCTCTCTGCCTTAAAGTTTAATGTTTAAAGCACCAGAAACTTCATGCCCTTCTAACTGCTGGAGAAATATCGGGCTTTAGAGCCATTAAATGCTAGTGGGAGGGTAGCTGTTGGTGGTTATTAGGTATTTCTTGAGGAACCAGAGATTCTATGACTCTGAGTTAACCTCCTAGCTGAACACAGCATAGACACGCCAAGTCACTAGCGGCCAGGCTAGTAAGATCCAAGAGGTAGACTCTTTGTGTTTTAATATGATAAAAGGAAGCATGCTTTAATCAAAAGAGAGATTACATAGCCAAGGAAACAGCAAGAATATAAAAATAAGCATTGACTATGTCTGTCTAAAGCACACACAATGGTGAGGGGGCTCGTGTTACTGTGATCTTGCCAGTCCCATTTGCAAGACTCTTCCTAGTGTGGAGATGAATGCAGGTGCCAGAGACAATGGACTGTATTCTACTCACATTCATGAGATCGCCTATCTTGAAATGGATGTGTCAGAGTATCTTAGTTTTATGCCATTTAACATTTGACTCATCAAGCTCTCTTTGGTCGAGACCCATACTCACCAAGCATGCTTTTTTATCATATGAGCCTACCTGCAATGTGCAAAGCACTGAGTCATGGAGTAACTTTGGTTCCTCTGCTCTCACTTCCTCAGAGAAAATCAACACAGACTTCCTTTCTGATCATGATTTAGCTTTCAGGCAGCTCGACCACAGGGGCAGAATGGACTGACTTGGGATTTAGACCATCAGACCATGGAACAGTTTCATGAATTCCCTGCCATTCCTTTTAAAAATATATATATTTTTTATTGATTTCAGAGAGGAAGGAAGAGAGATAGAAACATCAGTGATGAGAGAAAATCATTGATCGGCTGCCTCCTACACGCCCCACACTGGGGATTGAGCCCACAACCTGGGCATGTGCCCTGACTAGGAATTGAACCTTGGCCTCCTGATTCATAGATCAATGCTAAACCACTGAGTCACGCAGGCTGGGTCAACCTATACTTTTCAAAAAATGTGAAGTCCATAAAAGGCAAAGGAAAAAAAAAGTTAAAGAACTCTTTCATTTTGTTGAAAACTAAATAGAAATAATAACCAAATGCTTATGTGGCTCGTGTTTGATTCCTGAATCAAAAATAAAGCAGTTATAGAGGACATTATTAAGAAAATTAGGGAAATTTAAATATGAATTACATATGTATATATGTGAGTTAATGTTATTGCATTAATATTAAATTTCTTGCGTGTCATAATGATATTGTGGTTATATAGAGATTGTCCTGTTCATAGGAAACACGTGGTGAAGTATACTGACATCTGCAACTTACCTTCAGATTGTTCAGAAAAAACACTGAGTGGTTGAGCTAAAGCAAAATATAACAAAATGTTAACAATTAGTAAATCTAAATGAAAGACATATGAAGGTTCGTTGTATTACTTTACACTTTTCCAGAGGCTTAAAGCTTTTGAAAATCCAAGTTGGGAAAAATAAAAGCAAATGAAATTACTCTTTAAATTCTTTATTTCATACGTCCATTTCAGCAATATTGAAATAGGTTTCTCATACATGCACTCACTCTTTTTATAGGTTTAACATATGAAATGGTGAACAAATGTTACAAATTATAATCAAAATGTATAACCAAGTACTTTTAGAATAATTAATAGATTTAAAAATTGCGTTAAATTTCTAGTGCAAATATAACACAAGAGTAAAGGACATTGGTGATGTTAAGATTCAGTCTAGGTTTCCCCCATCTTAATTTCTCTGCTCCCTCCCACTTAAAATCTTAAAAAAGTTTTCATTATAAATTGGAAATACAGAATTCTTAGAAAATAATAGGGTGATGAGTTGTATGATTCTCCTTACAAGTACAATCTAGTCTTCAGCAATCTGTAAGCCATTGACAAGGTAACTCCATATCCTACAAAAAAAGCCAAAGCACGATTTGGCTGGGGAAGGGGTAACAGATATGAAATTGTGTGGTAGATCCGTGCTCCAACAAAGAGTCTGAAGTGCAGGACAGCTGTAGAGAGATCTGGACCACTTAAGGAGTAGAGAAGGCCAATCCCAAGAAATGGCACAATATTTTCAAGGTCATTCAGGTGGGCCCTGTGGACAAAGATGACTTGTTAAACACTACTTTCAAAATCAACATATTCATTTCCCCCTCTTCTCTACAACTAAACGTGTGTTAGTGAATCTGAAACATACAAAGACAGATTCATATTGTTTCTCTCAAATCACCTTGCTTCCTTACTTACCTGCTTTTTATTTAGAAGGTCTCATTATATTTGTTTCTTTTTATTTTTAGTGTATTTCGACATATAACAGAGAAGGCACTTCCCACTTTCAAGAATATTAAAACTGGCCGAAACCGGTTTGGCTCAGTGGATAGAGCATCGGCCTGCGGACTGAAAGGTCCCGGGTTCGATTCTGGTCAAGGGCATGTACCTGGGTTGCGGGCACATCCCCAGTGGGGAGTGTGCAGGAGGCAGCTGATCGATGTTTCTCTCTCATCAATGTTTCTAACTCTCTATCTCTCTCCCTTCCTCTCTGTAAAAAATCAATAAAATATATTTTTTAAAAAAAAGAATATTAAAACTGTATCTATATAGTAAATCTCACTTTATTTTTGTAGATATGAAATACTGTTTCTTCCAGGGTTCATACAATAGCAATTCAAGATTCTTCTTATAAAAACTCTTCCTCCCAAAGCAAGATAATCCTTTTGGTTATGATCTTTCTAAAGACTCCTTCCTCACTTGCCCTAACCACAGGTTGCAAAGAATTAATTTACCAATTTAATACCAAGAATTTCATGCTCTTAACATCCAAAGAGCAGAATATATAACTAGCTTTTCAACTATGGGTAAGATCTGAGCCAGTGTATCTTCAAATTACAAAAAGAATTAGCTAAGTGAGGGGGCAAAGTAGAAAGAATACACAAAAATGACAATAGAGAGAAAGATGTGTTTCCTAAATTTTATCTTTATACCACAGCTAGAAGAAAAAAGTACAATTTAGCCACAAGTCTTCTTCTAATATATGGCACCTTGGGTTTCTCTGGCAGGAATGTGAATACAAGGCACATCTATTACTGACTTGATATTTTTTAAGCACTTAATTTTAAAATCTGATGTTCCTGTTTAAGTCTCCAGAATTAAAAGTTACTACAGAATCTAGAGTAAAAATAAAGATTTTATAGAGTTTACCAGCTATTGATACATATTTCAAAATGAAAAATATTTTTGCTTTATGTTACTCTTTTCTTTTAGAAAAAAAAATAGAATAGTGGCCTATTGTGTTCTAAATGATCATCCCGTCTTTTCCTTCCTTCTGTTTTCCATAGATTGTATCTAAGGTTGCCTGACAGAGATGATGACACATAAAGGTATAAAGAAGGTGATAGTAATCAAGAGAAGTAATGGTTTTGAAAGATTTAAATTAAGAATTGCTTGTTCCTACATAAAAACAAAGCCAGAAAGATATGAATGTCCCTGTCCCCTTTATCATGGAACCACCCAAGGGCTCCTGAGAGTAAAATGGGCAAGAAAGGATGGAAATACCATTTTCAACTAAAGAAGGGCCTGCTTCACCAGTGACATCAGGGGTATTTATTTCGCCCTCTGAATTCTGCTGAAAATCTTCAGCTCCAATCATGGGCATGTTAGTTTTCTTCTTCACAACATTCCAAAAGGACAGATATTTCAAATTTGGAGAAGACACCTCCCCTGCCTTTACCCTTGAGTTGCTCCAAGTCACTGGTGTCTTCCTGGAGGGAGCTATGCATACATCTGTGCCCCAGCTTTATATCTGCTGCATGAGACAGGGCCCTGGGTCACGTGGCTTCCATCCTATAAACTGTGTTGGGAAAACACTGGATTTTCAAAGGCAAAAGAATGAAACTAGTCCTTATCTTACACTGTATAGAGAAATCAACTCAAAATGGATTAAAGACTTGCATGTATGATCTGATACCATAAAACTCCTAGAAGAAAGCGGTGGAACACAAAAGAAAAGGTAACTAAAGCAGATAAAACAAACAAACCCACAGGTGGAACTATATCAAACTAAAAAATTTCTGCTCAGCAAAAGAAACTATCAATAAAATGGAAAGGCAACCTATGTATTTGGGGAAAATATTTGCAAACCACATTATCTGATAAAGGGTTAATATCCAACATACAAGGAACCCATACAATTAATAGCAAAAAAACAAAAAACAAATAACCCAAATTTAAAATGGGAAAAGGACTTGAATAGACATTTTTTTCAAAGAAGACACAAATGGCTAGTAGGTACATGAAAAGGTGTTGAACATCACTAATCATCAAGGAAATGCAAATCAAAACCACAATGAGTTATCACCTCACATCTATTAGGATGGTTATTATCAAAAAGACAAGAAATAAATGATGGTGAGGACGTGGAGAAAGGGAACCCTTGTACACTTTTTTAGGGAATGTAAACTGATATAGCCACTATAGGAAACAGTATAGAGGTTCTTCAAGAAATTAATACTATATGATCCAACAATCCCTCTTTGCATGTATATTCAAAGGAAAAGAAAGTATTGTCTTAAAGAGATGTGTGTAGTCCCATGTTCATTGCAGCATTATTCATGACAATCAATTTATGGAAAGTACCTGTGTCTGGCAATGAAGGGAAGGATAAAGAAAGTGTGATATACATACAGTGAAATATTATTCAGCCTTAAAAAAGGAAAGCCTGTCATTTCCAACAGCTTGAAGAAACCTGGAAGGCATTATGCTAAGTAAAATAAGCCAGACAGAGAAAGACGAATATTGTATGGTGTCACTTTTATGGGAAAAATCTAAAAATGAAACAAAGTCAAACTTATAGAAATAGAGTAGAAGTGGTTGTCAGGGGCTAGGGGTGAAAGGGGACAGTAAGGGGAGTTTTGTAAAAGGGACAAACTTTCAGTTAAAATATGGATAAAGGACCTAGCCAATTTGGCTCGGTGGATAGAGTATCAGGCTGCAGACTGAAGGATCCCAGGTTCGATTCATGTTGGGGGCACATGCCTGGATTGTGGGCTTGATCCCCAGTGGGGGGCATTTAGGAGGTAGCCAATCAGTGACCCTCTCTCATCATTGATGTTTCTGTCTCTCCCTCTCCATTCCTCTCTGAAATCAATAACAGAATATTTAAAACAAAAATGATGGATAAGTTCTGAGGATAGAATGCAGAATGTATTACATGGTGACTATAGCTGATAACACTGTGCTGCATAATTGAAATTTGCTGAGAGTAGGACTTAAATGTTCTCACAAAAAAACAAAAACAAACAAACAAACAAAAAACAGATGAGGGTAACTATGTGAGGTAATAGATGTGTCAACTAGCCTAGTGGGGGGAATACTTGCACAATAGATATGTATATCAAGTCATAATGTTGTATATCTTAAATGTCTTCCAATTTTATTTGTCAATTATACCTCAGTAAAGCTGAATTTTTTTATTTTCCTGACTTTATGACAAAAATTAAGAAAAATACCCCCAGAATAAAATTCAATGTGCTTTTTAAAATCAGTATATTAATTGTATTGTTAGGAAGCTGTGCAGATGATATCTTGGCTTATTGCTTTTCATTGTTCACTGCATTCTCAGTACATTAAACATAATATCTATAAAGGAAAGAGAGAGGAGAGATATATCCCTCATTTATATTTTGAATCTTATGCAAAAGTACCTAGTTCTTCATCCTTTTACATAAGTTGACAATTTCATCTCTGGAGAAAGACAACAAAACTGTAAGAATCTACCATTCTCATTTTACCTCCTACCCATTATTAGTTTTGATATATTCCTGCACAGAACAAAATCATTAATCCCAAGAAAGTGCACAGAAATATAGCAAAATTGGCAATAGGTGTAACTGCAATGGTAGTTGAAAACTTCTAGATCCCTAATTTTCTGTAGTTATTATATGGACTAAGTACGATGATTCACTTTTCATCCTTCTTCTTCAAAACCCCAACACCCTCACTGAATTCCTTGACCAAAATTCACTGACCACGTAAACAATTTCAGGGATAGTGGGTTTACCTTCGTACACGTTCTACTCTGTCATCAACCCGAAGGTACTTCTTGGCATTTTCTCCTTTGCCAAAGCTTGCACAGTCTTCCGGGTTGGCAAAAACCTATTCCAAATACCAAGAAAATATCTTTCAAATACCAGATAACATTGTGGTATTCTAAGTTATTTTCATTTTAACATTAGAAACAGGCATCCAGGATGGCCCTATGGAATGAAAATTTGGAGCAATCGATCAAACACAGGAGGAGAGGAGAGCATCTATAGCTTAAATCTGAATTTTTATTAACTGCAAAAATTTTTTGAAAAGAGAGGCATAAATAAGAACTTCAATAAAAACCAATGTATAACAATAGTGAAAAGGAAGCAAAATGGAAAAGAGGGCATAATTCTAAGTCATCTAGACTATTATTATGGTGAACTGGCATTTTTTCATAGTGTTATTCAGGCACCTTCTCTCAAGGGCATTAACACTTCCAACTGATTGCTCACCTGGAAGTCATAGGTTTACTTGCTAAAGATATGAGAAGAGCAAGGGGGCAATAAATGCATTCTGTACTTTGCTATAATATGTATACTTCTCTTTTTCTTCTTCTGAATTAACTAAAACTTCAGGTTGAATTATATAGTGAAATATATGTAGCTGATTACATTCCTACAAATACATGATCCAGGGCATATGTTCATGTATTCCTTTCTATAATCATTAAGCTATTTGAAATGATTTCCCCATTCCTTAAAACTATGTGCACTTTAAAAATATTTAAGTATAGTCCATTGTTTAATAATTTATAGTAAATTAATGAATAAAAACACAAAGTATAAAATTAGCCTTAATTTAAGCTCAGAAATCTCATAAATACTATAATATTTTTCCTAATATGATATGAGTATTTATTCCAGATAAAGATGCTGAGGAGATCTGATGGGCAGGAGTGCAGGAGTGTGATACAGCATCAGCCCTTGAGGTCAGGGCTGCCCATCTTGCTCCTAGCCAATATGTGAATTTTGAGTCAGTAAATAATTGTATTATAATGGAAAGCATGTGAGATTTGAGTTCAAACAAATATGAATTTGCACCTCAGCCTCACTGCACGGATGTGAAACCTTGGGTAAGCTTTACTCCTCTGACTTCCAGCTCCTTAGCTGTAAAGTGAGGACACTAATGAGGATCTCACATGATTAAATGAACTGATTCCATGATCCGATGCATGTGAAGAGCACCATGACTCCCGCCACACATCAGTAGCACTCTAAAAATTCGAATTCCTTGGTTCTTTTCTCATAAGACAGGGTACCTTTCTGCTATCCCTGGTGTCACGGTGCTTCTGGAGGATGAGGGGACCTGGTGGGAGGCAGCTATTTTATAGCCAGCTGCTCCAACACCTTGTCCCATTAGAGAGTTAAACACAGGTTAGCTGTCCCGTTAAAATGCAAATATCCTTGGGGAAGGAATTACACCTAAAGACAGTACAAGGAAATACCTTAGGAAGGACTATGACCTCTAGATAAAAGCAAGGCTCTGGAGGGCAAAACCCAGGACAGGCACTGAGAGAGAAATAGGTGGTTTTCCTGAAAAAGAAATTGCTAAATAGGCAGGCACAGGGACCACACCAGTGAAAATCATTTCGCTTTGTCAAGGTGGATTTGCTCAACTCTCCTTACTGTGCTGTCACACTCCTTGCTTGAATACAGGATGGTGCTCCAAATCTTTCTACCACTTTCCCTCATGCCTCCAGTTTTGCTTTGTGGTTGTTGTTTTTTATCATAATTATAATGCTGGGTATTAATAGTATTCATTTAAGAAGTCAGAAATATACAAAATTCAAATGCCTTGTCCCACAAGAAGCTCTACTATGGGAATAACTTAAATTTTGTCCCCAAAGGCATATTATGACCTGTAACAGAGATGAAAATACCAGTTAATTGTCCAAAAAATGACTATTTTTGTTAATGCTAGTTGGCAAAATTAACTTCAAAATCACTGATAGTTTCCTTGAAAACTTTGGTACTCCAGAAATCTCAGATGCTGAAGCAGCATGACGAAAGGTAAAATCCACAATGAAAAAAACCATTTACTAGTTCCTGGGGGAAAACACCTGTTTCATAAATATATAAAATCCATCTGTAGCAAATGACGGCATGCTTTATTTGCAGCATTAAACAATGTGCTAATGTACTTTACCAAGAAAAAGGGAAATTAAGAAAATTGCTTTTCAGAATTCCAACTCTTAAAAGTGAAAAAAAAAATTCCTTCAGATTTCTTACCTTTCTTGTCAATCTATAGAATGCAGTTGCAGTACTCATGAACATCATTTTTGAAAGAACAATGGTCGTATAGGAGGCAAATGCCATGAATACTTCATTTTCCATTAGCTGGGCAAGGTCAACCATTTTCTCAACTTTGATCTGGAATTATAAGCAAGATTTTAAAAAGCAGACATAAATACCCCAAATACCTTGATGGGCAGTTGGTATAGAGTACTAACCACACTGTTCTTTCAAATATCTTGGGTTATTTACAGAAGAAATAATCATTTAATTTTTATAAAATTTCAAAATTAGCAGTATTATTTTTTTCTAGTTCTATGTCATTAAACTTGAAGACACTAAATGAGTGGAATGAAAATGAAAATGTAAGGGCATTACAAGACAAAATAAACAGGCAAAAACACTGTCAAGATAGATTAAAGTCATATTTTTACATCAAGATGAACCACAAATTGGACACAAAAGACCACAGTTCGTGGATTGAGCTCTTTAGAAAAATCAAATTATGTAATAGTAATACCATTAATGCTTGATT